ATTATGTACAATTTGTTTAAATACTTAACATATTGTTTGATTATAACTATTTTAAACATATCATTATAAAAATGTATATATTTATCTCAAGTCTTTGACATTAATATTTTATGGTAGAATTAAACATGCAAAATAGGATCATGAATAATTTGTTTAAATACTTAACATAATTTTGAATAAAATTACTTTAAACATAAGAAAACGGTCAATTTTACAATAATATCATAGTTTTACGCAAAATTTTTTAAACATATCATTATAAAAACCAAAATATTTAACTCAAGTATATGATATTATTATATTATTGTAGTATGAAAGATTTAGAGTAAAATAATGTGTAATTTGTTTATATACCTAAAATATTTTTTGCATAAAATTATTATAAACATAATAAAACTTTTGACTTAGGTATCCGACCAAAATAGCAAAATAACTGAGAATATAAAAATTGTGAATTAATAATGGAGAAAATAAAAAAAAGTATTTTGAAAAATAGCGAAAATATACGACAAAATATTTAGTGATAATAATTTTGAAAAAATAATTAGACATTTAGTGAAAAATGATATGCTTATTATCATTAGTATTATAATTTGTTATTAACAAATAAAGTCTTTTGGCACAGTCCTTGTACTATTTTTTATCTCTGATTTTTTAGCAGCATTATACTGTTCTTATGTTCATTCTTCTAAATTTCGAATTTTCTTTATCACATTAATAAATTTCCATATAGTAGGGTTGCTTCCTGCAAAAGAATATTTATTATATTATTAAAAATACTAATTATCAATAAAATAGGTTAAAGTTTTACAGTTTTATAAGTTTTAAAATTTGTTCAATTAGTATATTAAAATTCATAGTATTAAAATAGATATTATAAAAACTGCAGTTTTGCTATTTTGGCCTAGAACCGTCGATTTTACAATAATATCGGAATTTTCGAAACAATTTTTTGAACATATCGCTCTAAAAACGTAAATTATTATCTCAAGTATATGATATTAATTTTTTTGGTAGAATGGAACATGCAGAATGTATAATATATATATGGTCTAATGTATAATTTGTATAAATACTTAACACAATTTTTTAATAAAATTTGTTTAAACATAAGAATACTATAGATCTTATAACTATATAGTAATTTTCGGCACAATTTTATGAATATATCATTATAAAAACTTAAATATTTTTCTCAAGTCTATGATTTTATTAAATTATTGTTGAATGGAACATGTATAATAAGATTACATGTAATTTGTTTATATACCTAACTTATTTTTGGAATAAAATTATTATAAATATAAGAAAACAACATTAATGTTGTCCTTAGCAGATCTTAATTATTATGTCAGTTTAACTTTATAGGATTGGCAGATAATAAGCAAATCTTGTGATATTTTGAAACAATTTGAAAAAATAACTCTCGAAATGACTAGTGAAAAAGGAGTAACAGTATTTAAAACTATTTTATTTAGTCAGGCATTAACTAACTTTTGTAACAAACTAATGGTCCAAGATCAGCCAATTCCATATACAAATATGATATTTGATCAATTAGAAAAAAAAATATACTGTTTGCAGAGACAACATTTTTGGATCCTCGGTTCGAAAAACGGCTTTTCAAGACTCCATAAAATCTGTTGTCAATAAAGGAAAAAATATAATTATAGAAAAAATATACAGCAAAGTAACTTGACAACTTACCCAATTTCATTGACAACAAGTGATAAAGAAGATTCAATTTGGAACGACTATGATTTAGAAGTTATTGACATAGTTCAGTCTCAAAATCTAAAAGCGTTGATGATTATTGAAATAGATAAGTGTATTCAAGAACCTTTAACTGCAAGATTAAATGATCTATTAAAATAATGGAATTAAAACAAAAACATCTACTCTACTTTGTTTGAAATAATGAAACGACATTTTTGTATAAAAGGTACATCTATTCCGAGTGAATGAGTGTTTTCCAAAGGTGGCCAAGTTATAACTAAAACGCAACAGATTATCAAGCAAAAGAGTTGAACAAAGTTTTTTTTAAATTTAAATTTAAAATAAATTATATTATCATAATACTTCGTTTTTTTATACTAAAAAGGCGGTTATTATTATGTAATTATAAGAATAACATGCTTAATATAACTTTGTTTTTTTTTTTTAGTAATTTATAATTTATATTTACAACCATTAATATAGTTAAAAGATAAATTACAATGAAAGTTATATGAATAAAATAAACAAGTTATTTTTATAATCATAAATATGTTTTTTAGGTAATATTACAATGTTAAATTTTCCAATTTCGTAAAACCGTGTAACATAGCACACCAGTTTACCACAAATATGGAAAATGTTGTTTGTGATAATAAATAATAAAGATGACATGGAAAATAGATATATAACCCGGTTACTTATCACATTTATTCAATAACCCACAAACTCGCTCACGGTCTTAGAATAATTCGACATTCGCCATCGTGACCATAGAATAAAAGAATAATAAAATGAAAAATAATAATAAAAGATAATTACGAGTCCATAATACAAGGCTATTCAAAATGATTCATTCGATTTCAAATGCTTACATAATTTTATATTTTAGTCTTAGAACAACATGTTATATATTAAATAAAATAGAAACATGTCAAGTTTAATTAATTTTACCTATAAACGTTCTATATGAGCTCCTTTGGTCATACGAACAACATCTTAAACGGACTGTGTTGAAAACAACGATTCTTTCAACATTGTCATCGGATACACGAGGCCGGCCTGAGCTTTATCCTTTGCACAAACACCCTGTTTCTTCATACTGCTTACACCATCGACGTATGCACTGAGAAGTCGATACATCGATCCCGTAACGACGACGAAAATCGAGTTGCACGGTTATTACCGATTCGCACTTAGAAAATCGCAACACACAAAACGCTGTCTGCTGTTCGGTCGACATGTTTGCTGAAACCAACTTATCGCTGAAAAGCGATAATTATAAAACGAACAATTAATGACATTCTAAAACTTGGGTATACCACACTTTATTAATTGGTATATAATTTGATTAAATAAAATTTATAATTAACCGTTTAAATCTATTTGAAATCGGACGAACAATTTTGAATAACTCTGTATTTAGTTTGGTAAGTGATTCGTGATATTAACTAATTCAATTTTGAAAATAGCAGTGTAACCTAATCATTTTATAACACTGAACGAATTCGGTCGGACATCTCGCCGAATCGATTCGAATCACCCATCCCGAATGTCGGCTATTGCTGTACCGCCGGCGCCATCGTTGTTGTTATCGTCTGTATACTATGAGCACGCGGCGAATGGGGGTTATTATTGTTATTATTATTCGACCATAAATAAGATGACGTTGCGAACGACTATTCACTTCGTAGTCCGTGTAAAGCGTTCCATACACAGTTACAATTAATCGTACGACAGATACTGTCATTGGTTGTCCACAATACTCATATCAACTTAGGCTAGGTTCACATGGACGCGCGTTAGAACGCCACAGAACGCGCGTATAACCGTTCAGATGGCTGCGTGTCACGCGCGTTGTACGGGAATGTTCTAGTCAAAAACTATACTACTTAGTATAGTTCAAATTTTCATGAAGAATGAATGTGATAGATGATGAGTGCTTATTGCCCGTCCATCGAACGATGCAGACAAATGACGGAAAGGAAATATTGGGTTCATCCTATTTTGAAAACAAGGCTTTCTTTAAGTCTCAGATTATTATTGCATTATATTTAGTGCTACATTATATCCTAAACTAATAGAGCACCATGAGAAATTTTTCAATTACTTTGAAATGTCCGTTAAATCATTTAACGACCTATTGGAGATAATTAAAGACTCTTTAGGAGCTGATGACAATGTCCCAGATGGCAGGCCTTTTTTTTTTTTTTTTTTATTTCATTAATTAACATATCTATTTCGATTTCCGTATTTAAAATAACACTTGTTTTCAAAAACTATAGATGAAAATTCGATCGTTCGCATCGAAACGCGCGTGTCAACTGAACGGTCCGATAATGATGTATGGAATTTCAATACGCGGAGTCACGCGCGTGTTCGCGCGAAAACAGAAACTTGCGTCGTTATCGCGATCGACGCGCGTATACGCCCGTAAACGCGCGTCATGTGAACGATGTACAGGAACACTGATTATCTAAATACGCGCGTCTGTCTAACGCGCGTCCATGTGTACCTAGCCTTACGGTGCTGCGGCAACCGACGAAAACCGACGGGTTTCATCGTGTTTTGTGGGTCCGCAGAGATCTTGGCAGTGGCCGGTCTGACACGGACGCACGCACGCACTCGTATACCGCCGCCGACGAGTTCGCGCACAGGCGACTAGCCCCCTGCATCGCGTTGCTTCCTCACCATCCCACGGGGTCACTCCGCCATCGTTCGTACGCCGCCGCCGCTATTGTACCCGAACCGGACCGTAGCCGTTAGACGCGGCCGAAGCCCAACGTTGCCAACCGTACGGTCCAGGGAGACCGTGGTCTGTACGATAATTTGACCGAACTAATACGGATTTGGACATGTTAAATGTTGGTTACACTCCCGAAGCCAATTATCGCTGTACCGGCGTACCTAACCTTTGTTCGACATTTCACCGCCGCCTCCGCCGTCGTAGAGGTTCTACACGAACTTACTTGTTATTTCATTTTTCGACATCTGTTCTCACCCTCGTGCGCACTACCGTAATCGTTATTGTTTTTAATTGATTTTTTCCATTCCGTTTCGGTTTTATTGCCGACTACCGTTGTACATCATTATTATTATGGCCTGATCATTAACGCGGTAGACATGTAGCCGTCGTACTTTGTACGCTCCGCATCGACGTGGCGCGCGTGCACCGTCGTCGCATTCGATTTTTACCACGCGCGTCCTCGTCACGGTCCAATAGTTTTCGATCATCGCAGTACGTTCTGTTTTTTACATTTGTCACCATTACCGCCGCACCGACTGAGATGTCGAAGTTCCGAGACACGCTCATGGTGTATACCGTCGTCCGGATGGGACATGTTGGGTAAAGAATATACCGCCGAACGTAAATAAGAATAAATCTCCCGGGTACGGTAAGCATATTACATGGTTTTTACTATTATTTTTGTCATTTGTTATGTAAATATAAATTTAATATAAAAATTAATGTTTATATATGTCAATTACCGTGAATAATGATTTTGACCATCTTGTCATATGTGCTCTACCTCAGATTGCGGTCTACTTGCAATTACGAGACGCTTGTTGTATGCTCTCTGCTATATAATTTATATATCTTTATTATCGTGACTTAATGGTAATAAAGATTATCACTATCTTTTTCTGCATTATACAATTGTTGATCGTATATATTTTAGTTGTTGGATGACAATACTTGAGTTCACTTAAGGTATGTAAAAAAGTAACACTTAACACATTTTTGAGGGTCATAGCACAAGTATTTCAATATATATTTTAAGTGTTTTTATATTTATAATTATTTATGAAATGAAACAACAACAAACTGTTTTTAATATTTATATAATCATTTGTAATTTCTATAATATTTTACATACTTATAAAAAAATGTTGTTCTTATCATAGCACTTTTACATCATCCCACATACGAGAATAAATTGTCTAAAATCTAAATATGTTGTAGAGTGGTAAAATAAGGTAGAGCGCATACTGCAGTTGCAACGCTGTCAGTAGAGTGCATATAATAGCCGTAATTTTACCTTGTATTAATAATTATACTTATCTTAATTTTTTGAAAATATTAGCCAAATAACTAAATCAAAATCACTAATTTATATTGTTAAATCTGAGTTGTAAATTAAATGGTTATTGATGAAAATATAAGTACAATTCTAATAAACTTACCAGTGATTTTCCTCGAGAAAGCTCTCTTTCTTTGGTATGGTAAAGTAGTGATTTATGAACACTTTTCATATCTTAGCACTAAATTGTGATCAGTTTTTTGCTCAATGATCGAGATTTTATGAAATTTATCATCAGCATTACCTCATTTTAATAACGAATGCTTGACTATTTCTACAATTTTTTGTCAGTCCTTTAATTAACAAAACAATACTAACAGTTTTTCAAACCTTTACCCCTTACAGTTATACAGTTATCCCAAGTCAAACTTTAATTTAAAAAAAATCTTGAATATATTCATTTGGATTAGCTTGTGTTCATAAATTCAATGAGACCCTAGTGATTATTTTACTTATTAATATCTGTATGGGTACTTGTGCTAAATTTACTTTCTTACTGTACATAATTATTGTATTGCCTCGTATAATACCAAAGCTTACTATGATCCTAATAATATTACATTATTTAAAAACATTTTTGACTGGTGTTACACAAAGAAAATTAAGTAGTTCACTTCATGATTTTCTATTGGTGTAAATGATATTGAAAGAGTTCCTCTTTAGTATACTAAAGTTGTGTAGGTCATGATAGAAAAAAAAAATATTGCTATAAATATTGTAATTTTTATGTATTTTATAAATTTTATTGTTTACTAACTACTCATTTACCTCACCACAAGCTCTACTTAGTAGAGTAAATTAAATAACTAATATATTTATTGTAACTATATTATTTATTTAATAAATAAAAAATAAACAATAGAATTATAATAGTTATACAGGTTAAGTTAGTTATATAAGTTATATTATAAGCTACTAATGAGGGACTATTTTTTCAAGATATAACTGTATACATTAAGTATTTTGAAATACAACATTTTTTTCTGGAAAATAATAAATTTATTCAAATTCTTTAACTTTAAGTTTTTCATTATTTTTGATCTGATTATTTAAAATTGTATTCATTGAATGTTGTTGACAGTAGTATACTATCATAGATTAAATATATATGTATAAATATATGTAGTATATAAGTAATACTAGAAAACAAATTTAATATAAATTATAATGAAATTATTTTTTGTTGATTATATAATATATATAATTCAGTTAGGAGTTAGGTTGGAACTAGAAATAATCAGTAAAACAACATGTTGTAAATAAAGACACATAAATACATAATTTAAAGTATCAAATTTATTGTTAAAAAAAAATTATATTTCTATGAACAATTCTTACATCTAAAATACCTTTAGTGTTATTATTATTTTACTTGTTAATAGTTTAAAATAAACCTATACATCTTTTATTATGTTTATTTTATTTTGGATAGATTTATTGACAC